TATACCAAGGATAACTTGGTCTTTCACAAATAAGGATTAAATAAAGATATTTTTAGAAAAACAAAAACTGAGAGAGTTGACTTTCAAAGGAACCTCATTAAGAACTTCAAAAGAAGATTCTTTGGGAAAAGGAAAATGCCCCTGGAGAGAAGATGTGAAATCCACAAAGGAAGCTGTGGAGAAATATAAACAAATATTGACTGTATTAAAACAAAACTAAAAAAGTAAATCCTGAACAACAAAAACATAAAATCAGAGTTAAAATGTTTTTTAAGTTCTTATGTTATGCAGGAAAAGGATAATGATAGTAATTTTTTTACTTGAATATGAATAATTAAGTCTATGGGTAATCTCTAAACATAGAAATAAACTCTATAACTCCCAAACTAGTTAAAGAGGAAGAAATGAGTAAAAGTAGTTTAATCAAAAAGAAGGCAAAATTTTACAGAGAAACAAAATTTTTAAAAAGGGGAACAAATAGGAAGCAAAAAAATGAACTTTAAGGTTAAAGGCATTTCTAAATGAAAGATATTCATAACATATCATTAAAAGGTATCAGGAAATAGCAGGAAACTAGTAATATAGTTTCAATATAAAGCAAAAATTTTTAGCAATCAAGCACACACAAAAATCATAAGACTTTAGTTGATTTAGAACTACACAATTAATAAGATTCAATGAACTTAAAATGTTAATTCAACATCTAAAAAATTATATTCAAGCACACATATAATACTTTTGAAAACTATGTATGAAGCCAATTAACAAATCTTAAAGTAGCATTCAAATCACATTCTCTGACTTCATATAATTGAGTTAGGATTTGTTTTAAAAATGTATTTTATTGTAAACAGCATAGAGTTAGATACTATTTTCTTAACCCAACATGATAATATTCATCTTTAACTAAGCAACTCTACTTATCACATCAAATGGAGACTGAGCCAAAGAAGCAAGAAAAACCTGAGACTCGAAAAAGGCAGCATAAAATGACCATATGACTCAGCAGTCCCACTTCTGGGTATATACCTAAAAGAAGTGAAAGCAGGGACTCAGATATTTGTACATCCATGTTCATAGTAGCATTATGCAGTATAGCCAGAAGGTCAAAGCAACAGAAATTACTTCTATGGATGAATGCATAAACAAGATGTGATTGATACACACACATACACACATACACACACAATGGAATATCATACAGTCTTAAAAGGAATTTGGCACATGCAACAAAAATGATGAACCTTGAAGATATGTTAAGCGAAATGAGCCAGTCACAAAAGGAAAAATATTGTATGATTCCACTTACATGAGGGATCTAGAATAGTCAGACTCATAGAGACAGAAATAGAATGGTGGTGGACTGGGGCTGGGTGAAGAAGGTTAGTGTTTAATGGGTAAAGAGTATTAGTTTGGAAGATAACATTCTGGATATGGTGGTGATGGTTGCAGAACAATGTGAATGTAATTAATGCCAGAGAACTATAAACTTAAAAATAGTTTAAAATGGCAAATTTCATGTTATGTTTATTTTACCACAAGTAAACCAAAAAAACAAAACAAAAATAAAACACACACAAAAACTAAAAGAATCTTCTGTGCCAATACCCCAAGAATAGTTTGCCACTGTTCCTGGGGTATTGATAGAATAATCAATCTTAATACTTTGAGAGGAGTCAACTCTGTTAACCCTTTCTAAAACTGCTCTAACTGCAGCATAGAGATTGAAAAAAAAAAAAAGTATTAACTACAAATGTCTCACATTTGTGTAGCACTTTATATTTGAAGAAAGGCTTTTATGTGTCCTAACCCATTTAATCCTCATGATGGCCTTATGAGGTAAATTATAATACTCCCTTTTAATTCATGGAAGAAAGCAAAGCCTGAAAGATTAAATTGCCTAAGACCATGGAGCTGTTAAGAATGCAAGGGTCCAAATATCTATGGACTAAAGCCATTGATCTCCCAACATACGGAAATAGTTGTCAACTTACTATGAACTTTACATTTAAAATGCCAGAAGCAAAGTGCAATGCTTGTTAAACTGAATAAAGAAGGAAAAAGATAACATCATTACCTTCTCAGTGGCCAAGGAGTAAAGATTACACTGAATTTACGCTCTGAATCCTATTAACATATTTGTGGCTTTTTATAATACTCTATTTGCAAACCTTGGTTATGTTTAAACTCTCGTTGGATGTTTGCATTTTTTAATATTTGCTTCTAAAAATACTCTTTAACTTGGAGTGGGGAAAGTGGGGGGAGGGGTGGACAGGAGGAAGCTTTTCCTTAAAATGTACTGTTTTAGATTGTGGCTCTTCAAATTTTAATCTCAGTTTTCAAAAAACTGTGTCTCATTGTTATGCAAAGACTGTTTCATTTTGGGTCTTAAATCTTTTTATTGCTTTCCTTGGAGTGCATGACTAATGTAAATGAGAGAACCCTGGCGACAATGCACATCACCCCCTTCGTAATTTTACCAGCTCCCCCTAGCACAAATGGCTGGGTGAGTGTAACCTCTTGGTTTTCAGCACGCAGCTGGCATTCATTTTCCTCAAACCTGCCATAGAAAGTCACCTCAGAACCCCAATTCTCCTGCTGCAGAAGGCTGAGCCAATAGCTTTCCCAGTCTCTGGGAAGATGTGTTACCTGGTGGAAGAATGGTGGCATTGACACCCCCTGGCTGTGAATGGGCCTCCCTGAATTTATTACTGATAACAAAGCACTCCCTGTGGCAATATGCAATAGGTTTCACTGTAGTGGGATTGGGTGAAAGAATGTGAGACGTTGCACTCCTTGGTCCTTCCCCGTCTGTGTGGTACCCATACACTGAGAGGTTAAACCTTGACCATTCAAAGAGATGCTCCCTCAATTTCCTTTTCAAGTCATTCCAAATACTGTGAGGTGAAAACAGTGGACAATCTCCTCACCTTTGCATTCACTGCCTATCTTCTGAAGTCCAGTCTTCTCCAGACATATGTAAAAGCACTCACTTTATTTATTAAAATGCTTACAGTATTTTAGGATGGTCTTCGCTCATATTTGTTTGTTTGTTTTTTAAATATATATTTTATTGACTTTTTTTTTTTTACAGAGAGGAAGGGAGAAGGATAGAGAGTTAGAAACATTGATGAGAGAGAAACATTGATCAGCTGCCTCCACACCTCCCAATGGGGATGTGCCCAAGACCGTAATTGAATCTGGAACCTTCAGTCTGCAGGCCAATGCTCTATCCACCAAGCCAAATTGGTTAGGGCTTTCCTCATGTTTTGGGGGGGTAAAATTGATAATTCAGGATTCTCTGAGCAGAGAGCAATGGAAAAATGAAGTACTCTTACAAAAAATTAGCTCACACCCATCACTTGGGCAATACCATGGGACCTTTCCCCTTGTGTGTATCTGATTTATTGTTTCTATTCCCATAGCTTACATTTATGAAGCACCTACTCTGTGCCAGAAGCTGCTGAGCACATCACATGCCTTATATATTTAATCCACATCATACCCCTAACATGCTGATTTTATATAAAACAGTACAAATCCCTGAAGTGTAAAGAGGTTAAGTGGGCACATAACAATAGTGGCTTATGTTGCACAACTTTTTTTTCTGTTTAAAATTGTAGAAACCTACCTTACATAGATCATTGTCTTTAGAATCCCAAATTAAAGAATTTTCAGAATCAGGCTTGACAACTCCTATCATTTCCTTAAAAGCTTTAATATTCTCTTCTCTCAGGGGGGTTGGGGGGAAGCACCAACTATGTATTATCATCTCATGCATTTCAGATCTATTATTGTTTCCAATCAACTTTCTCCTGGGCTTGATTTAAACAAATAAGAATAGTAGGCAGCCAAAACTGGTTTGGCTCAGTGGATAGAGCGTCACATGGATGTTTCTGGCTCTCTATCCTTCTCCCGTCCTCTCTGTAAAAAATCAATAAAATATATTTTTTAAAAAAAAAGACTAGCAGGCAGACTATTGCTAACATTCCTTCCAAGTCTGTATTTTCTAAATCTCAGTCACTTTGCTTTCAACTTCGAACTTTATTTGATTTTTCTATATGCTGCTAATGAGTGAAAGATACGACGCAGACACATTATTTGTAATTGTGAAATATAGCACACAAAATTGCAATGGCAAACAAAAGTGGAAAGTAGCTTCATGTTATAAATGAGGCAGAATTTTATGTTTAATGCTACTTAAAAGATAAAGGAGAATATTATAAAGTCTATTTTTAGAGAAAAGCCCGATTATTTTTGAAAGTGGTAATGATATTTTCCTCTAGCATTTAGTAATATCAACAAAACACTTTGAAATCTTTTTTATAAAAAAAAAGAATAAGTATTTAAAAAAATATATTTGATTAATTTTTTACAGAGTGGAAGAGAGAGGGATAAAGACTTAGAAATGTTGATGAGAGAGAATCATCTGTCAGCTGCCTCTTGCGCACACACACCCACCCCCACCACCACTGGGGATGTGCCCGCAACCAAGGTACATGCCCTTGACCAGAATCGAACCTGGGACCCTTCAATTCTCAGGCCAACGCTCTATCCACTGAGCCAAACCGGTTTTGGCAGAATAAGTATTTTTTTGAACATCTATTTTGTTCTTGGAATTTAAGGAGAATATAGGATATATGTAAGAAATGGTGCCTGCCCTAAAGAGTTTATAATTTAGTGGATGACAGAAGATGAACATACCAGTAATTTTAATTTTACCCAGAGAAGTACATAGTAGGTGCCCTTCCTTCCTATTCCTTAGCATGACCTAAAACGTAATTTCTAAAGTACATCACGAATTTTTTCTTCTCTTCAGAGAAAACTGATTTTGGATTTCAGAAATAGCCTGGTTTTATGCTCCAAAGATTAGAGTGTATTTCCCCTCCATTTATTGTCTGACTATTGTGATCAATTCTTAAGTCTGAGACATTGAAAGGCTGAGAGACACTTTTACGTTATCCACCCTAAGATGTACCCTTATGTTCATCTTACTCTAGTGTCATCAGAAATCGGGCCTTCCCTTGCGATTCACACCACTGTCTCCTTTGGAGTTACACACTTGGAACGTGACGTTGAGGAGGTGGAAGAGTTAATTTTCCAGCAGCTGGAAAACATTTTGCCAGGTTTGCCGCAGCCAGTCGCTACCAAATGCCAGAAATGGAGACATTCACAGGTAATCATGGAACCCAGTAGTAGGAGCACGATTTTCTTAACAGCTCAGCAGAACTGACTTGGCTCTTTCTGATCCTTTTGCCTAACGTGTAAGCATAGACGTCTGCAGGCTTTATTATCCTGTTATTTCTCAATTAAGAATTGCATACAATTTGCCCCAATCTAATGTGCACATTTTAGCATCTCAAGACATACACCCTAAAAATCTTGGCTTTCCTATGCAAGCAAGGCAAGTTACATATCCAAATGCAGCTGTTTCCCTGGGGTTTTTCTAAATCGGTGCTGTGGTTATATAGAAACCACTGTAACCTCCCAAATTTTTGCAATACATCAAATTAACCTCATTAAGTGTATTTTGCTACCACAGTTTTCATTTTTATTAAGTTCCCACTTTGGTTTTGACTGCTGCCAGCAGAGCTCTTTGCGGGGAGAAAGATGAATGCCTGCACAGATCGGCCAGTTAGGCTGGTTTTCAGGGTCAGATAAACCTGCTGATCTCAGGACTAGCTCAAACTTAAAGCTCTGTAACGCTAAGTAAATGTTGACTTTTCTGAAAGTCGCTGCATATTTCAGGGGAAGTTTGTGAGTATTCCTAGAAAAAGCCTTTTGATCTGTAAACTCTGTTGCGAAGTTATTCAGGGACAGTGGAGCAAAGGGCAGGAAGGGGAAAGACACAGTGAGTTGTCTACTTTTTTTCCCCCCTAAAGTTTCTGGGCCTATGGATGAACTGATTTATCAGCACTATCGGTCATCTCAGCTTTAAGCCTTTAGAAAGAGTGTTGTTGTAAGATATGCAGCAGATTTTTGTGTATGGTAAAGGGTTTTCCAAAATGAAAGGAAATGGGAAATTGTAAATGACTTCCTAAAATTGCTGCAGGAATATGTGTTTACCCACATTCCCAAGTTCAATGATACAGGGAACCCAGTACACATCTAGACACAGTACACAAGAAGTCACTTTTCGATTTATAAACATCCTTTAAAGGAACAATGGTTTGTGAGTTTCTTCCTGTGATTTCCTTTAATTTATTAATGAGCCAAAAATATGGGTTAAAATCTACTCATTTCTCAAAGTTTAAAATGTTACAGAAATAGATTGGACCTTACCACAAAATGGCCTATTCAAAGTTGTGCAATATCACAAAATGTAATAAAACAGTGTTTGAACACAAAGTACATCCAAACCCTAGAAATGCTTTCTATTACAATTTGGATGTTCTCTCTTGAAATTATTCCAGTATATTTACGGCTCTGTAGTCATTAAATCTACATTGCTGCAAAGCCTGAAAGGGAATAAGTTGTCATTCAACCTTAGAAGTTTGCATTTTCCACCATTCATATATTTTTTCATATACTTCCCTATTACCTTGAGCAGCATTCTATGGAACATAGCATTGTCATTGATGGCAGAGATCTTACCTTCATTGTGAGATGATAGCTAGATAGGTGATAGCTAGATAGATGATAGATAGATAGAATCTCTACATCATCTTAGAAAAAGAAATAATGACAGGCTCAGAAACTTAATAGCATTTAACTAGTTAGTTTTCTATTATTACTTCCAAGAGAGCATTTCTTCAACGCCTTTAAAAGGTCCATCTTAGCCTTTGAAATGTAACATGAATGCGTGCACCACTCCTCCCTTGCCATCCAGAACACATGATCTACCTCTGATAATGCATCAATGTTTGTGTTATGGATATGGCCTACTATAGTGTTTAAACTGAAGGGAAGGATGGTGTAGAAACAATGACACACAAAAAAGAGAGAAAAACAAACAACTGATTCTGACCTTTTTCCTATTTCTAATTAATGGTACCGTACCCTTGTAGGGGAAATTCCACCCATATTTTTTGCACTATGTGTTCCCTTCCTTTTTCTCCACCCCCTGTCCTGCTCTACCCAAATCTCCCCCTATTTTTCACACTCTACCTCTTGTTTTCTTCTCTCTCTCCGACCTTGAAACCCTCATTTTATGAAGTCCTAGACAGACCACAGAACTGCTGTCCCATGCTTCAAGCAGTGGTGGTATACCCTTCGTATCTACACCCCTCCGCCTTAACTTTTTATCTAAATTTATTTTAGTTTTCCCTTTTTCTTTGTGATCCCTAATCTGCTGGGTGGGTTAGAAGAAGAAGAGAAAGGGAGGTAGCAGTGAAGAGCACTCACAAGTGTGGCAGTCCTGGAGCTGGGCAGTTCTAAGATGTGTTCTCACTTAAGAGTATCAGAGAAGCCTTAAAGATTGCTAGTTTTAACCACTACACCCCTGAGAGAAACAAAGCCTAGGAGACATGAACAAAATCCCCATAAGTCCATTGGCTAGTAATGACAAAACCCACCCATTTGTCTCTCAAGTCCTTCACTTTGTCTCACTGACTCTCTGTTTCCTCTGCACCGACCCTGTTTCCTAGTACCACAAATCCCATAGCTTAAAACAACATAAATGTATGATCTTACAGTTCTGGCGTTCTGAAGTTCAAGGAGGGTCTCACTAAATTCAGGGTGTTGGCAGAGCTGTGTTTCTTCTGGTGCAGCTTTTGGAGAGAATCCATGTTCTTGTCTTTTACGTTTTCTAGCAGCTGCCCCTAGTCGGCACGAGGCCCCTTCTGCCATCTTCAGAGCCTGCAAAGTGGGTCAAGTCCTTTTCACTCTGACCTGTTCTCCTGCCTCGCATGTTCTTGAAGGACCCTTGTGATTCCACTGGGCTCACCTGGATAACCCAGGCTACTTTCCCACTTTGGGCTCACCTGGATACTCTAAGCCAGTGTTTCCCAACCTTCTCTCATGATGAGAATCACCTGGTGGAGTTGTTAAAACACAGATTCCTGAATCCCAACTAAGAAGTGCTAAACTAGAATTTTTGGGAACATATAGGTAAAATTGTATACTTAACTAGTGCTCTAAGACAGATTTTATATACAGAGCACTAAGTTAGGTATGCAATTTTACCTATATGTTCTCAAAAATTCTAGTTTAGCACTTCTTAGTTGGGATTCAGGAATCTGTGTTTTAACAACTCCACCAGGTGATTCTCATCATGAGAGAAGGTTGGGAAACACTGCTCTAAGCTACTCTCCCCATTACCCTTTATGAGCATCAGGCCTTTAGTCTCAAGGCACTCAAAGGAAGTGAGTGCTGTCTGACAAAGACGGGAGTGTTGTGTGGGGTGGGGGAGATAATGTCTTGTTTTTCCATGTTGCTCTCCCAGAGTCGCCTCTAAAATCACACACCACATTGGCAGCAGGAAAGTGAAAGATTTTTACTCATTCGGTTACTCATTTATTAAATAAGCATGTAATGAATGCCTGAGACATGTCTAGTACTCTGCTCATAGAACCCTAGAGGGCTGCTGAAGGCTTCTCCTAAGACACTAAACGAAATGGTTTTGCCTTGACTAAGATAACAGTGCATTCTTGTGGGTGCTGCTCATCACGGAGGAAAAAGGCAGATGAGGAAAGAAGGCGTGTTTGAAAGACTTGAGAGCTGCTCTGTGCCTCCCATTTGGGGTTTGAATAAAACACTTGAGTAGGTGGTGCAAACAAACTTAGCAAAGCGATAGCAGATCTTCCCGGTTCTTGGTTCCTCCCCTTTGCATCTATTTGCCCTCCATAATTTAAATGTTTATCCGGTTAATATAGCTTGCTACCTTGGCTGTGAAACATTGAATTGGGGTTTCTGTAACTAGTATGATATATTCGTCCTTTCATCAGAAGAGTAATAACTGAAGACACCTTTGCATGTACCTTGATGGGGACATGTAATCAGTTTGCTAATCTTAATACTTTCACCATTACTACTTACTGTGCTCTCCTCTGTTTCAGGTTCTATCATGATGCTCCCTCAAACTATAGGATATGTCTGATTTGCTTGAAATTTTAATTCATCAGGGGCTCTTTTCTTCATTTTATTTGCACACAAATGGATTATTATTTTTTTAATCACCAAATGTATTTTTAAATAATGAGGAGAGCCCTAGCTGATTTTGCTCAGTAAATAAACCATTGGCCTGAGGACTGAAGGATCCCAAGTTCGATTCTGGCCAAGGGCACATGTGGGTTGCAGGCTCAATTACCCCCCTCCCCAAGTAGGGGCGTGTAAGAGGCAGTCAATCAATTATTCTCTTTCAATAATGTTTCTATCTCTCTATCCCTCTCCCTTCCTCTCTGAAATCAATAAAAATATATTTTTTAAAAAGGAAATTCTGAGATAACTATATGCTTAAGAGAAACTAATAAACAAAGGTTTAAAAAAATAATGAGAACAGGAGGAGAAATAGGGGGATAAGAAAGAGGAGAGGGAGGTAGCAAATGAATATATTGGTACCTTTGTCCAAATAAATAGATTTGGACTAGCATATTAAACTAGTAATAGAATTAGACCTCAGTTATCTTCTATAGTTACATTTCCTCATTTGATCTTTTGCCCTGAGCCTGTACTTTCTCCCCAATGGCAGTCTTTTCATATTTTTGAAGAAAAAGGATCATGAACTCTTTATGAATCTGATAAAAGCTATAAACATGAAAATTGTCATAACTTCAAAATATGCAAGTACATATAAACACAACATTGCATATAATTATGAGGCTTTATAAGCAATCTAAAGTCCTCCCATAAACACAGTATTAATGACACCTGCTGTGAAAGTCTTATTACTGTCACCTCAATAAATCAAGGGCTTCCTATGTCCCAGGCTTGTGTTGCAAAGAAACATAATTCACCAAACAAAAGGAATGTAAACTAATTCAAATTTATACTGGTATGTTTTATAGAACTTTAAAGAACATTGAAGAGATTTCATCCTCAGGAGTATGTGTTAAGTCTCTGTTCTCATTCACTGTTTCTCCCCCTCTGGAAGCTTCCTCAAATCTATTTGCACCCTAATGATCTAATTCCCCACACAGTTTACTCTGACAGTCAGCCATGCGGCTGATCTCTTTTTCTGTCTTTTCTCTTTTCAGCCTCGCATTCACATACTCCACTTTGGACTCTATCCTTTTCGTT